CTTGGGATTTTATACCCACAGGACCAAGGACTAAAGCAAGGAGTGATGCAGACTGCTCTGGGGGACCAGAAATGTGACAGAAGAAGCGGAACGTTAAGGGGTTAGAAGACAAAGTTGAAGGGGAACAACGGAAAATAGACAAAAAACAGAGTTTGAAAATATGCAAGAAAAGAAAATCAGAGGAGCAGCCCAGGAGTTGTGCCAAGTCCCAGAAGGTGGAAACAGAGACGTGGAGCGCAGGAAGTCGTCCATCCAATAACTCAAAGTGTTCCCCAGACGAAGCCGCAGTGTCTGCACTGAAAGGGTCCAGTGGTGAGAGGGGACTGCTGAGGGACATGGAGCTGGCACTGTGGGGACCAGGAGCCCAGGGGCCAGTAGCTCACCCTCAAGTTCCTTCCCAGCTCAATTCCCCAGGCTTTTCCGGAAATGGTCAGAGTGTCCAGGAGCATGTATTCTAGCCAGAGGGGTCAAGCTGACCGCAAAACAGTCCTCAATCTGCACCAAGTCCACAGGAGGCAGTGGCCCAGGGAGTCACGGAGGAGGCAGGAGGTGGCAGTGGTGACCCTGTCCACCAGGCACCGAGTGTGCTAGGGGCACTCCCTGCCAGGCGGGGCAGCACCAGCCCTGCCCAGGTCCTCCAGGGCTCCGGGATGTTGGAGCTGCCTTGTCCAGCCCAGCTCCTCTGAGGCCTTCCTCCTGTCCTGGCTGCAGAACCAACGGAGGCCGATCTCAGGAAAAGGAGACCATGAACATCTGTTTCCCCAGAGTCAGTTGTTAGCAGCTGATGTCTCCTCAATCAGACTGCTCACTGTCAAGTCCTAGAGATAGGGTTCTAAAATCTGGTTTTTAACTTAGTATACTCATTTAATAGAATGAGTTCTACATGATATTTTAAATGCCTCATGATATTATTTTATAATTTATTTAATTAGTTCTCCAAGAGATGGGTATTTTGTTGTTTGCCATTTCCATTATTTTAATATCATGTATTTTTAAACACACATCTTAATTTCTTCAGGAGAAAACTCTGAAGTCGATAAGTTAGAGAAACACTTCGTGAAATCGCACATGAAAAGGTGTGCTTCTGCCTCCAGGTAGGTCAGGCGTGAAGGCTGGGCTGCCCCGGGTCCTGCCGGGTCCCGTCTGCTCCTCCAGCCCAGCCGGGCACTCTGCCCAGTGGACACTGGTACTCTGGCTCAGGAGCCAGCAGGGGTGTGCTCGCACAGGGTGGGCTTGGCCAGCTGGGAAGCAGTGAGCTCAGAGGCCTCGTTTGACCTCGGCCACGGCTGATGCCTAGGTCCACTGACAGGCCGTGGACCCTTGGCGGCTGGGCGCCGCTGCCTATCAGGCCTCTCCAGGGCAAACCAAGGACCTGGGTGCTCCCTGAAGCCGCAAGTGTGGCAAGTGCACTCTGACCCCTCAGCCACAAAGTGCTCAGCTCAGCTCCTTTTCCTCAGGTGAGAGATAACCGGCCCCCTGGCGCCTGGTCTCTGCTGGACTGGCTGGAGGGGCCAGGTGGAGAAAGAGGGATAACAGCAGGAACTAATTCACCGTGAGGACACGCCCATTAGCAGGCTTTGGTCCCACTCCCTTCTGCAGGCGGAGGGGAGCCCCAGGAGTCTCTCCCAGGACAGCACAAGTAGGTGTGTCGGCAGGCCACAGAGCACGGCGTGTGTGTGCCATAGTCTCCCCTGGCCTGTGGGGACAGGAGCTCTGGAAGGGAGCTGCTCTCGAGGCGGGGGCCAGCACGGTGGGGGAAGAGCATGGGCCAGGGCTGGACCCCAGTCACCTCCTAGCTGGCAGGCCCAGCGCTCTGGCCTGGAGTGAGTGGTCTGAGCTTCTCTCCTCGCTCTTCTGTGAAGGACTCCACCATGGACTCAGTGGACTGCAGCCAGCACTGGCTGAGCCACCGGCTTGTAGTCTCTGTCCAGGCTTCCTCCTTCGTGCTCTGCCGGGCGCCTCTTCAGGCCTGAAGCACTGGCCACGGTGCCGGGAGCACAGGCTGCTGCAGCGTGGGCCAGCAGAGGAGCAAGCAGACGGTGCCTCTGCCCAGCAGCAGAAGGCCACTTGCCCTCTCTCTGGCCAGTGCAGCCTCTTGCCCCTCGGTTGGTAGCCATTCTTGCCCAGAGCACAGCCCAGGCTGTACCAAGCAGGTGATAAGGGCACCTTTGCCCTCCACTCCCAGGTCCTAGGAGCCATGAGTCACCCAGGGGCAATGGCAGCCCCAGGTAAAGGTGGCTCTGCCCCGTCCTCCTGCCCCGGCTCTCGACAGACCACGTCCAGTTGCCTTTTCTCCAGCTGTGAGAGGTGCATCTCATCCCTGGGGCCAGGTGCAGTTAATTGACCTTCCCTACATACATGCACTCTGCTGTGTTTTTGTTGAGACAGAACAAAATTCTCAGTGAGCTTGCTGTTGAGCCATCTTGGGGTCTCCTCCTGTACGCACCTGACCCACTCCTCCTACCTCCAGGGTCCTGGGGAAGGCGAGCAACATGGCCAACTCTTCAACCAGGGGCTTGCAGGACAGCCTGGGGGTCTCAATGCAGAGTGCAGCCCACTCTGTTGGGCGGGGTCTTTGAAATTGCTCATTGAGGTACCCAAAGCCTGGCCAGGGGGATCCTCAGATGGGAGAGTTGTTTTGTGACAGGGGACCCCAGTTAGCACAGGAGACGGCCAGGAATCAATACAACGCCAGCGGGGCCTCCTGGAGGGGCTGGGAGGACGGCAGAGACGTCCACCTGGAGGGGCTCAGGGAATGGCAGAGACGTCCACCTGGAGGGGCCGGGAGGACGGCAGAGACGTCCACCTGGAGGGGCTGGAGGACGGCAGAGACGTCCACCTGGAGGGGCTGGGAGGACGGCAGAGACGTCCACCTGGAGGGGCTGGAGGACGGCAGAGACGTCCACCTGGAGGGGCTGGAGGACGGCAGAGACGTCCACCT